CTGCTTCTGCCCGCCCGACAGCTGCGTGCCGCGCTCGCCCACCACCGTCTCGTAGCCCTGCGCCGCGCAACACAACGCGTCTAGCACGGTTCGGGGGCGACGAAGCCAGCGCCGGGCGAGCATCCGGGGGAGCTAGATTCTGGCTGGGTCTTTGCACTCTCGATGGGTGGACGATAATTGCGGCTTGAAAGCTAATAGTCGACCCTTGGGTCCTGATACAAATTAAGTAATAAAATATGCTGCTGGCTCAGTCGATACATCCAGTCCCCTGGGGTCTGGATATGACTTAGGTATCATTAACATCGGATTATGCAAGGAAGGGACGGGGGTGAAAAGTTACACGACGAAAGTTAACACGACAAATAACGTGTATGACGAACGGCGATAAGACGAAAGGCAAAACGAAAAATAACTAACATAACAAAGGGCGAACACGATGAAAGTCAAATGCCGCGAAACGTAAACACGGCGAAAGACCATCACGAACAAAGAAAAAACGAACATTAGCGAAAGACAAACTTGACGAACAACGAATATGACAAACGACGGGCAAGACAAATGGTGAGAAATGATTGATAAGAAACACGGTAAACGTCAAATGTCGAACACGATCAAAGACGTCGAAATGCAAGGAATAAGGCAAAATGCATGGACAACCGATAAAAGCACGAGAAAACCTAATAAAATGGCGAAACACGAACACGATGGATCACAAAACGACATATCAAAAAAACGACAAAACAGGGAGAAAGAAGAAACAAAGAAGAAAGAAGAAACAAAGAATAAAGAAGAAACAAAAAATGAAGAGCACGACGAATAAGAACACGTCAAACACAAACACTACGAAACGCCCGAGGAGTTAGGAAGAACTTCACCCGACGACGGCACAAAACCTTTCGAAAGATAACAAGCCATGACGAAAGACGATAAATGAAGAAGAAACAAAACGGGAAAAATGTAACATGAATGCCGTTTCACTTTCCACATTGTCAAGCCTCATTGACTCTGCCACCCCACAGCAGCGGCACAAACTGTGCTTCAATTCTTCTAAACAATGTAGCAACTACTGCAGTATGCGATCGGTTATGTGCGCACTGTACTCCGTTGTGAACAACTCGCGAACTTGCGACATTTCCACTTCATGTCACTACACTACGTCGCCATTTTCTCACATCGCACGCTACGTTACATTGTGCCTGGTAATTTTATAGATGTATTTTTATAAGTACGGTTCATTTTTTCGGACAATCCGAACAGGCTACACCCCAATTAGTTCGAAATACCAAGGCTCTACTGTACGAAACAACTGTACAAAGCAGTGTAACAAAAAATGACGATAACGATCGACGAACACGACAACACACAAATACATAAATTAACACATTTTCTCATAAAACAACTAATATAATCACTTTTACAATTATTTTATGAGAAAATTTATGTATACATCAAATTTTAATTGCAAACATTTATCAGGACATATACAAATAATTCAGTATTTTTATATAATATCTGCTGAGAAAAATGGTCGATATCAATTGATCAATCAATGTATAAATCATAAACTAACGATGAAACAGAACAGCAGTGATAGGCGAACGACGAATGACAAACCGAAAAAGTTGAGCGACAAATGGACATTGACAAAAGACAAAAGAAAGACACTACGAAAGACACTGTAAATATACAGCACGGGGAAAGAACGAAAAGCATGAAACACACGGCAAAAGCGCGAAATGGACGAAAGACGAACATGAGCAGCGTTAATGACGAAAGAGCACGGCAAAAGTCAAACACGACAAAAAACGAATGAGATAACTGATGGCCATAGAATGTGAAGATCTGGAAGGAAAGGACGAAGACGATAACGGTGAAGACGACTGTCCCCGAGCGAAGAAAATGAAGTATCAAGTTGGCGAGTTGTACCTCTAGCTGTACTCAGCGACACTAGCGCCCCTGTCTCTGCACCCTAGAAGTTTGTCCGCAATGTCAACGGGGAGGTGAAAAGCCCTGGCCCAGAGACGCTCCAAAGGCAAAGCAGTACCTGCGGCAGGCGCGTGATGAAGTCGTGCGCGCTGGCC